GTGAGGTTCAGTATGCTTTCTAGTGCAGGAGCCTAGGGGGTTACGGTTAAACTTTGAGCAACAAAACTCAAAAAATACTTTTCCCCATTTTGATTGTGATGTGAAGCATACAATAAAACACCTACAACATTCATGTACTTTTAACTGATTTCTTCATTAGTTTTGATGTTAATTAACAGCTAATTATCTATGCAAGATGTCATAATATCATAACATTTAAATTGTATGTGAGGTTTCAATGAAACCAAGCGATGGGAATGTACTGGTTGCTAAGGTGATATAGAGTCATATGCACACAAAGTATAATTGACACGGTTCACTGACTTTATGCTTTATTTTCTCAAAAACAAAGGTGCATGACTCCAACAATTTCAAACAGGTCCAGTGGCCATTTGAAAAAGGCTTCAGCAACCAAAGCTTTGAACTTCTTCTCTCAAGTAAGCTTTTATCTCAATTTTCAAATATTGTGACTTTCCACCCATTTTGTGGTACCAGGGTTACATTTGACTGTTTGCAACTCATATTTTTACTGTAGTGACTAAATTTTACAGCAACCATCTGTGGAGGAATGTCTTATAACTGCATACTTCTTTCCAGGATGAAGTTTTTTCATGGATTTGCAAGGCTACATTGTTGAGGAGGCACATTACTCCCAAGGCAAATTCACTGCTTACACCTGGCCACTGAAAACTGCTCTTTTACTTTAAAAGGGAAAGAGAACCTGTCATGCCTGTTCTCCACCCTGACCCCCCAGGTAGTGCTCGCTTACATGTACTAAGAAAGCCCTGTACTGGTCAGAAACTCACTTCATCGTGATTAGATATTCAAAATGACTTGGGATCTGTCTAGTCCGCAGGTTTCCTCTTGACTTCTGCACTGGTAACAGTAGAATTGCCTTGTCATGAGTGGGGTCGCTCTGCAAGACATCCTTCAGACAGGAGGAGGTGAAGGTACATTGTAAGGAAGGAATTTCCCAACATGCAGCCTCGCAGATGTCTGCAATGGAAACTCCATGAAGATAAGATCAGGATGTAGAAAAAGCTCTTACATCATAGTCCCTGATGTAGTACGTATTCCGTTCATCAGAGAATGATGGCCAATCTGGGTTGGCAAATTTGATGGCCAAAACCATCCAGCAAATAACGGTGTCTCTTGCCGTTGGGCGATGTGGTCTAGTGGTATAGAGATAAATAGCTGGGTTATTGTTCCTCTTAGGTCCCAGTCTTTGGTCCCAGAGCTTGTTTGTGTTGACCCAGTATGCCAAGCAACTGAAAGTACAAAGATGTCCAGCAGCTCAAACGACGGAATCGATTCTTTGTCAGAAAGATGATGGTCAGGATGAGACGGATGTCATGCAGTTCCCAGCATATATGACCTTCAGCAATTGAAAAGGGCATAAAGTTCACTGCCTCGTCTTGAAGTAGTCATAGCCAGGAAAAATGCTAACTTGTACTGATGTGTATAAGTGTAAGGTCACGATACTGGCCAACTTTCATGATGCAAAAAAAGAACTTTAATTT